AAAACTACAATAACAACAAAGTTTTGGCAATAGTAGTTGCAAAATTCTCCACACAATGGCTTTTTGCCTTTCATTTTCATAAAATTTGATTGATTACTTTAAACTTATCTTGAGATCTAATTGGTTGTTTTGTTTTACTGTCTCATTTTCATTGGCTGAGAAAAAGATGCGATTTAGTTCAAAAAATATTGCGATCCGTGAATAAATCGCACCACTGAGAGCCAATCAGATTGCAAGGATAACCAGTGATTTCAAAATGGATTTGATAAAACTGCAATACGTAACTCCTTGGATCCTATGACGTCATATCAGTAAATGGAGAAGATGAACAACATGAAAACCGCTGCCACAAACACAAGGTTGCATGAGGCCAGTTTGTCACAGGAGCTCGAGATCTCCTCACAGACTGGCTCTTTCTTCAACGGAGTATTGATGACTGGCCTGGAGACCAATTTCTTCCTATAATACTAAAAAGCAGGAGACAAAAGATTATGAAAGGTGCCCATATTCTAGGCCCACTATGGTGAGAGTTAAGGTTCTGGAAACTTGGTATGTTTCCAGCAGCCAAGTTCACCGCTCACTGCACGTTGTCTCATGGGTTCACGTTGGAATCCCCTTCGGAAGATGACCCTTGATGCAGTTCAGGTTTTTAGAAACGCTAGCTGAGGATAACTGACAACTTATTCCACACAAATTTACATGAAATGCGTGCTGCCAAGCGATCTCATAATTTCTCTGTTTCGATTGATAGGGATGGAGAAAAAGTAAGCCTTAAATTCTGAAAGCAAGAAGCAGTTCACAATTGAACAGGAATTGCTGCCAAGGTCAGTATATCGTAACTTTGATTCTAGGCTCGATTATCAGNAACACAAGGTTGCCTGAGGCCAGTTTGTCACAGGAGCTCGAGATCTCCTCACAGACTGGCTCTTTCTTCAACGGAGTATTGATGACTGGCCTGGAGACCAATTTCTTCCTATAATACTAAGAAGCAGGAGACAAAAGATTATAAAAGGTGCCCATACTCTAGGCCCACTGTGGAGAGAGTTAAGGTTCTGGAAACTTGGTATGTTTCCAGCAGCCAAGTTCACCGCTCACTGCACGTTGTCACATGGGTTCACGCTGGCCGATACTGGAATTCCCTTCGGAAGATGACCCTTGATGCAGTTCAGGTTTTTAGAAACACTAGCTGAGGATAACTGACAACTTGTTCCACACAAATTTACATGAAATGCGTGCTGCCAAGCGATCTCATAATTTCTCTGTTTCGGTTGATAGGGATGGAGAAAAAGTAAGCCTTAAATTCTGAAAGCAAGAAGCAGTTCACAAATGAACAGGAATTGCTGCCAAGGTCAGTATCTCGTAACTTTGATTCTAGGCTCGATTATCAGCCGCTGGACGGGAGAGGAGCCCGCGCTCCTTCCCCGATGCCTCTTCTCAAACTGGTCTCGAGACAGCGGCGGAAAACGAGCCTATACTTTGATCCTAATTAAATACTCACCGGTAAGCAACAGGCGTTAACGTCGTCCGTGTCTTGATAACTTTTACGTAGTTCAGAGATCAACTTATCTGTCCATTTTTCTGAAGGGTTCGGGAAACTAATAAGGAACGATGATAGAGAGGTACAGTCAAGGAATTAATGGTCATAGAATTAACTGAAATATCTCAAAAAATGGCTTCAAACTGTAGAAGAAATATAAAGAAACACAGCGGAAAGTCCAAAAAAGGGGCAAGCCGGGACGAGCAATACTGTACACAATAAACACAAGCTGCATTTGGCTAAGCTGGATGAGCATCGGCCTTACTGTACATTTTTTCAAGTTTATCTCAGTTCGTATGAAAATGGCATTTACGAGGTTAGAAAATCATCCTAGTTTATTATGTGGCCTTAATTTTGCCGCTGATGTGTTGCTCTGCCAAATTATAGTTGGCAGCTGGAGAATAAACTTATGATAAACAAATTAAATTGTTAAAAAAAATGTATTGTTCTGATAAGAGTAAATTCAACTCTTCTAATGGAAAATGGAAAATAAAACACGGCAAACCATTTACTTTTTGCTGAGTGGACCATGGAAAAGTGTGGTCGCTTTATATATCAAATGCCGTTTTTCATGGCACAAACTTACTCCACATGTTTTTTGTCAGAAAACTTTTCCCAGGCAGGCTCGTAATTTGACAATCATCCTGTTAATTTCATTTTCGGGTAGTAAGCGAGGAAAGAGAGGCACATTTCGTTATGTGTACCAAGACCACCCTGAAAAATATGTGTAAAAAATTAATTCGATATTACACTGCCGCTTATTGTGTCAAATTACTCGCGGCACTTATTGCAAGAAACAAGTAGAGACAGCGTCGGGTTTGGTTTGTCGCTAGGGGGGCGGGGTATATACTCCCTTATATGGGCTATATAGGTATGTGCGGCCCCAACCTCGTTCCCAGGGTCTTTTCCGTGGCAAAAGGCCCTGGGAACGAGGTTGGTGCGGCCCCAAAAGGTATGGTTTTCAGCCGTTTTGGTCATAAATAGGGTATCGATTTTAGCTGCACTCTAGCCTCGATATGGGTATATTTTTAAGAAGAAGCCACTTTTTCATCATTATCGCAAAGAAAATCAACAAAAGCCCTTATGTTTACGGTAATTTAAGACATTTAACATTGGTCTGAACTAGGGAACTAATTATAAGAAAACACAGGTCTGTAACAGGGTTTTGATTTAAGGGTCAGGTCATAAATAGAGTTTCGAATTGTTGATCAGGTCATAAATAGGGTAGGGAATATCGCAGATTTTGGTCATAAATAGGGTTAGGGTTTTGGGAAGCGGGCCGCACACCCCCAACCAATTTTTCTGGGAGTGCCTCCCCCCCTCCCCCGGTGGGTTGGTCTCGGCGCCCACTACCAGAGCGATCCATTAATCTGTTAATTTCGTTCACGTAGTGTAACGCAATCCTCATTGCGTTCTCGAGGAACGAGAGAACGCATCCTAATCTCGTTTCGTCCTGTCTGCAGCCAGAAAAAAATCCCCTTCTATAGGCTTTTTAAAGGGCTCTGGGCCTCGTTTCGTGTCCAAATGATGCCTCATACTTGTTCTCTTTTTTGGCTTTGACGTTTTGGGGTGGGAGCAGCCATATTTCATTGGCTGTATTTTGATTATATTTGTTGACTTTAATAGTTCCAGTGGCCACAAATAGTTTAGTATCCAGCGAAGGTCAAAATTGAATTGACGGAAGAGTACTCTGAAGCCAAGACCTGTAAGAGTAAGCCAGAACTAAGGAACAGCAATGCAAATGCTGACTTATTTTTATTCATCAGCGGAAATAGTAATTATCGCCAGGCGCACGGAGTTTGTCCGGGAGTTTGTTTACGATAACCCACCGATAAACGGAAACTCGAGTGCAAATGTTACAGATGTTAGCTAGTATTTGTGCTTCCAGCTCAGAATCATTCTCATCCTCAGAGGCCGCGCTCCTTTTGGTCAGCACCAAGAATCGCGACCTCTGGCCGGGTCCAACACCGACAGTCCGCGATTACCGGACTTCCCGTCACTCTGCGCATGCTCAGAGTCAAGTCTGACAAATCTGATTAGTTCCGACATTGGTTCCAGTCTCATTCTATTGTGTTTGCAAAGCCAATCAGAATCAGAATCTCACTGTACCTTTCCAGAGGTCGTGATTCTTGGTGCTGACCAAAAGGAGCGCTGCCTCTGGGGACGAGAATGATTCTTGGCTTCAAGCGCAAATACCAGCTAACATCTGTAACATTTGCACTCGCGTTTCCGTTTCCGAATACTAGGTGTAACACAGGTATATTTTTTTAAAAAAAATTAGCCTTTATGCTTAAAGACCTAAAACATTACCAGTAAAAGTGAAAATTAGACGTTAAGCATGAATTTGTGAGTTTACCGAAACTGGAACCGTCACGCAACGTGTCATCAAAGGTCATATCAAATCGCATTAAGGCAAGGAAATCAAAATGCACAGAACAGTGGTTGACTTTATCAGTATGTTATATGTCCGGTAGAACTTAAGCCGTTCTCATAAAGATAGACAACTATTATCACAGGCGGAGAACGCACTTCTAATCTTTGATTACTCCTAGTCTAGTTTGTATCGAGAATTTTCCTTACGGATTTGTTCGCCGAATTTGTTCGGACCTCAAAATTATCTCACAAAGTGCTATAAGTGCCACTCAATAGTTTCATCGTTATAGCTTATTATCGTCCTCAATTGTGTCCCCTTAAAGAGTCACAAGGGGAGGCCTTCAGTAGTCTCCCGCCCGGTCTTTAATTAATAACTACTTAATTGAACCGAGAGTGAGGTCTTTACAGGAAAATCTCAAACCTCGGCCTTGCCGTATTTACCGAGCGATAGCGAAGTCAATACGGCAAGGCCCGAGGTTTGAGATTTTCCCATAAAGACCGAACTTTCGAGGTTAATAGTTGTTTATTATATGGCTTTTTGCTTTGGTTTTGCGGGCCCGATATCGGCCCGTGGCCATTACTTAGCTCTTAATATTAACCGAGCAGGAGGACGTCTGTATGGGAGAATCTTAACCGAGATCGAGAGTACAGACCGAACGTAGTGAGGTCTGTGCACACGACCGAGGTCAAGATTCTCCCATATATACAGACCAACTAAGTTCCGTTAATAAGATGTTTATTATATGGCAAACAAGAACAGTTTAATTCGTTTAATGTAACTGGTTTGCACTAAGTGACATTTTGCTTGCGAACGGCGATGAGCTGAACTTAATCTGCCAAAGTTTGCTCGACCTATTTAATTTTTTTTTTCTCATCAAGCTTTTTGGCATTTCCATGGATAGATATTGTTAGAAGAAAATGAGGCTTGTCCAATACACCCAACTAGAGTCGATTCGTCTCTGGAATTGACGATTCGACTAACCGGAAGTCGATTTGAGAACCCTCTTTGATAAAATCGACACGACTCGTCACCCTTGATGTCGATTCGTTATACTGGAAGTCGATTTGCGCATCTGGCTTTGAGGGTGGGTTGAAAATGTTGTCGATTCGACTCGATTCGATCGAATCGACACGAATCGTCTCCCTTGATGTCGATTCGTCATACCGGAAGTCGATTTACCGGAAGTCGATTTATAGAAAATATAGCGCACTCAAGCGCACTCACTCCATTCTGATTAATTTATTTAATAAAACCGGATTAAATAGTTTTCTCCTATCCCTCCCCTGCTAGGTATGACACTTCGTCCTGTAGGTTTGGCAGGTTTTAGGGGTGACTAGAAAGACTAAATTTTGTCCGATAACATGTAGTTTATACATGGCGGTTAACGCGGCACGAAGATGGTTTTTTGGTTCAATCCGTGGAGTTTTAAAATGGAAAGTTGTTTAGCTAAGCAACAGTAGCTGCAACAAATGGACATGGAAAGACTAGAAGGACGTACTATACCATTTTTTGTGCGGCAGCATGGCGTAACCCCGCGCTTAAATTTTAACAAGGAGACCTTCGTGGAGTGGTAAAATGGACAATTATAAAGCTATGGAACGCTAGCTTCGGCAATGAACATTGAAATCCTGAAAGCCATGATGCTCGCTTCGAAATCTTTAAAGCTACGATGCTAAAAAGCGAATCCCGACCGACGGCCAATCGTTTGAAAGTCTTTTAAAATGTCACTCAGAAGAGGAAACAATGCAACGGGGAATGAATGCTGTATCATCTGGAAGCTAAGGTAAGCCTCCTTGTTGTGTCGTATTTTTTACTATACCTTTTATACGAGGGGGATTATTTCGTTCGGAAAGTAGCTTTGGTACAGGGTCGACTGCTCTTTGAATGAAAAACCATGACAGTTTTTTGTCATGTCTTACACTCAGTTAAAACAAAAGATGATTCTTAAGTGGAGGTGCTGGAGTTGAGGGAACACAATTGAGGGTGATGATAAGCTATAACAAAGAAACTATTGAGTGACACTTATAGCACTTTGTGAGGTAATTTTGAGGTCCGAACAAATTCGGCGAACAAATCCGTAAGGAAAATTTTCGATACAAACTAGACTAGGAGTAATCAAAGATTAGAAGTGCGTTCTCCGCCTGTGATAATAGTTGTCTATCTTTATGTGAACGGCTTAAGTTCTACCGGAGATATAACATACTGAACGGCGACGAGCTGAACTTAATCTGCCAAAGTTTGCTCGACCTATTTGATTTTTTTTTTCTCATCAAGCTTTTTGGCACTTCGATAGATAGATATTGTTAGAAGAAGATGAACAAAGGTTTCGCTCTTTATTTTGCAGCTTTTTCATCGCAAAACATTGCTGATCTAGATGTCGGTCTGAATGGGAAAATCTAGACCGATTTCAATATCGATTTCAGCCAATCAAATTCGTGAATTCGGTAATACTTAGTCCTTGTGAGACACAGCCGTATAATAAGAATAATGCCCTACAATTGGCCAATCACTGCAATCAGAGCGCGCGTTATATCGCCGGGCTACAAACACAAGCCACATAATAAGAGTACTTAAACTGAGAAGGCTGGCCTGAAAAGAGTAATAAGAACAGAGGTTTAAAACACGGACAACAGAAATTTTTCTGCGGTCCAAGTGACATACTCCCATGCAAAGTTAACCTCTCTTATCGGATCCTGGTTATCTGTTCACTGTATATCTTCCTCTGTCACTATTATTTGCTCATTTTATATTGTTTGGAAATGAAACCTTTCTTTCTTTCGGTCACAGCCATTTCATGTTTTCATTGCTTTTTTAGAGTAGCAACTGGTAAATTAAAATAAAGTGAGGGAAAGTATTCAACTCCACCTACATTTGTCTGGTTTGCTCCTGTCCGGTATTGACAGACTGTTGTTAAGGAATCTCCCTGCCAAAAAATATCAAAAACAGGAATAAAGTGACAGGATATCACGTACTGCAAATTCATGTGTATTTTGTGACATTCTTCAGTTAAACGTTCTTACCGGTAAGACTGTTACCTCCCTCCTGAGAGTACGGTACTCCTTCGATCAAAGAAAAAAACAAGGAGATAGTTCAGAACAAAGCTCACCTCAAAACCTTTCGCTACTATGGGGCCGTGTCTTTGCATACATCCATAACTTTTAAAAATACAAGCTTAATCAATTTTACATGTAGTACAATTCTATGCACAATCAGCGTCCGTACTAAGCGTTCCAGTTCGAGGAAAGTTATAAGTTTCTCAATTTAATTTGTGTGTGTACCGACTCACCTGAAAGNCTCTACATACATTTGTCTGGTTTGCTCCTGTCCGGTATTTACAGACTGTCGTTAAGGAATCTCCCTGCCAAAAAAAATATCAAAAACAGGAATAAAGTGACAGGATATCAAGTAGTGCAAATTCATGTGTATTTTGTGACAACCTTCAGTTAAACGTTCTTACCGGTAAGACTGTTACCTCCCTCCTGAGAGAACGGTACTCCTTCGATCAAAGAAAAAGAGAGGAGATAGTTCAGAATAAAGCTCACCGCAAAACCTTCCGTTGTTTTTATATTCCGCTACTATGGGGCCGTGTCTTTGCATACATCCATAATTTTTAAAAATACAAGCTTTATCAATTTTTCATGTAGTACAATTCTATGCACAATTAGCCTCCGTACCAAGCGTTCCAGTTCGAGGAAAGTTATAAGTTTCTCAATTTAATTTGTGTGTGTACCGACTCACCTGAAAGTTGAAGTCATAATGGTCGTCCCTGTCGATCTCTGGAAGTTCCACTCCCTTTCTCACATGTCGAACATATACCCCACGACCTTAATTAAAAAAGGATTAATAAATTCAAGCATACCCTCATATATATA